GCATATTCTTTAAAAAAAAAAAAAGTTAGATATATATAAATACAATAAACAGCTAGTCACCCAAATCCATGACTGCTCCACTATACAATACCTGTATGAATCCCCAGCACTAGTTTGACCCAAGGGACACACAAATGACTGTCCAACACTGAGATCTCATAAGCAGACTTGTCAACTGTCCCTTCCAAAAGACCCTTTTTCTGAAGGGTGAGGGGAAATTCCAGGGTACATTCTATATCCTTCTCAGAATAATTTTTTAAAGATTTATCTATTAAAGATTTTATTTATTTATTTATTTGAAAGGCAAGTTGTACAGAGAATGAGAATCAGAGAGAGATCTACCAAAAGCTGGTTCACTCCCCAAATGGCTGCAATAGTTGAGGCTGCACCAGGCCAAAGCCAAGAGCCAGGAGCTTCATCTGGGTCTCCCATGTGGGTGCATGGGCCCAAGTACTTGGGTCATCCTCTGCTGCCTCCCCAGGTGCATTTGCAGGGAGCTAGATTGGAAGTGGAACAGTAGCAACATGAACTGGTACCCATAAGGGATGCCGGCATCACAGGCAGCAGCTTAACCTGCTGCACCAGGACACATGAAAGGCAGTGTGACAGAGAGGGAGGAAGGCAGGGAGACAGGGCCAGGGCAGTGGGGGGAGAAGGGGAGGGGGGAGAGAGAGAGAGAGAGAGAGATCAATCTTCCATCTATGAGTTTACCACCAATGGCCACAACAGCCAGGGCTGGGCCAAGCCAAAGCCAGGAGGAGCCCAGAACTCCCTCAGGTGGCTGGAATCCAACTTCCTGGGCCATCACCTGCTGTTGTCCCAGATACATTAGCAGGAAGCTGGATCTCTAACTAGCCTCTGATATGGAGTGTGTGTGTCTCAAGGGCAGCTTAACTCAGCGGGATACACAGCTTGCCCCAGAAAATTCTTTACTGAAAACTCATGGCCAGCGCCGTGGCTCAATAGGCTAATCCTCCACCTGCGGCGCCGGCACACGGGTTCTAGTCCCGGTCGGGGCGCCAGATTTTTGTCCCAGTTGCCCCTCTTCCAGGCCAGCCCTCTGCTATGGCCAGGGAGTGCAGTGGAGGATAGCCAAGTCCTTGGGCCCTGCACCTGCATGGGAGACCAGGAGAAGCACCTGGCTCCTGGCTTCGGATTAGCGCGATGCGCCGGCTGCGGTGGCCATTGGAGGGTGAACCAATGCAAAAAGGAGGACCTTTCTCTCTGTCTGTCTCTCTCTCACTGTCCACTCTGCCTGTCAAAAAATAAATAAATAAATAAAATAAAAAGAAAACTCATTTCTGTAAAGTAAGATGTACTCTCCTTCTCTTTCTAGCAGGATTTTTGAATTTCTGGTATCATCTGAGAAATGGCATTTGAGGAGATAGAAAAAAGCAATGCTTTAGAAATCAATTAACTACATATGTGAAAAGAATAAGACATGGAAATCTACATTACACTTATGGTATTGTTTATCTTCTCTCTTATCACTTCAAATGACCACTCATCATTTCAGGTAAAGGTGATGCACTCTCACACTTTTCTAACTGCAACACTTAGTAGGTGAGTGATCATGAGCAAATTTCTTTTTTTTTTTTTTTAGAAAAATGATTTATTTTGAAAGTCAGAGTTGCTGGGTAAGGGATGAGTGAGTGACAGAGAGAGAGAGAGAGAGAGAGAGAGAGAGAGAGAGAGAGAGAGAGAGATCTTCCCTCTGCTGGTTAAGTCTCTAGATAGCCGCAATGGTAATAGCGAGCATTGGGCCAGGTGCCTGGAGCTTCGTCCTGGTCTCCCATGTGGGTGGCAGGGGCCCAAGCACTTGGGCCATCTTCTGCTGCTTCTCCAGGCCATAACAGAGAGCTGGATCAGAAGTGGAGCATCCAGGACTTGAACTGGTGCCCATATGGAATGCCGGAATTACAGGCTGTGGCTTTACCTGCTATGCCACAAGGCCAGTCCCTTTAGTAAATTTCTGAATTTGAGTTTGATGCCTAGCTCCAGACTCCAGCTTCTTGCTAATGCAGATCCTGGGAGGCAGTAGTGATGGCTCAAGTAACTGGGTCCCTGTCACCCATGTGAGACAGCAGGATTGAGTTCCCAGTTACTGGATTTGGCCTGACCCAACTCTGGCCACTGTGGGCACCTGAGGGATAACTAGCAGACAGGAGCTTTCTATCTCTTTGCCTCTTAAATAATTTTTTTAAAATAGCCCCTACAGGGGTTGGTGCTGTAGCAGGTTAAGCCTCTGCCTGTAGTGCCAGCATCCCATAAGGGTGCCGGTTTGTGTCCCAGCTGCTCCTCTTCCAATCTAGCTCTCTGCTACGGCCTGGGAAAGCAGTGGAAGACGACCTAAGTGCTTGGACCCCTGCACCCATGTGGGAGATCCAGAGGAAGCTCCTGGTTCCTGGTTCTGGATCAGCCCAGTTCTGGCTACTGCAATCATTTGGAGAGTGAACCAGTGGATGGAAGACCTGTCTCTCCCTCTCTTTCTAACTCTGTCTCTCAAATAAAATAAATAAATCTTTAAAAAAAAATAGTATCTATAATATAGGGTTGTTAGGATTAAATGAGCTAATATGGGGTCATCATTTAATGCAGCAGTTAAGTTGCCACTTAGAATGCCTTCATCCCATATGAGTGCCTGGGTTCTAGTTCCAGTTCAACTTCTAACCCCTGCTAGCTGATAATGCACACTCTGGGAGACAGCAGGTGGTGGCTCAAGAACTTGAGTCCCTGCCACCCACATGAGAGACTCAGATTGCGTTCCAGGCTCCTGGCTTCAGCCTGGTCTAGTCTGGTGTGCTGCAGGCATTTGGGGAGCGAACCAGCAGATGGAAGATCTGTTTGTGTGTCTACATCTCTTTCTCTCTACCTTTCAAATAAATGAAAACAAAAAATTTTTTTAAAGATTTATTTATTTATTTATTTATTTGAAAGGCAAAATCACAGAGAGGGGGAGGCAGAGGATAAGAGAAATAGAGACCTTTCGTCCCTGGTTCACTCCCAAAATGGCCACACGGCCAGGGGTGGGCCAGGCTGAAGCCAGGGCCAGGAGCTCCATTTGGGTCTCCCAAGTGGGTGCAGGGGCTCAAGCACCTGGGTCGTCCTACACTGCGCTCCAAGGTGCACCAGGAGGGAGAGCTGGATTGGAAGTGCAGCAGCTGGAACCCAAACCGTTGGCCACTTGGGATGCCAGTACCACAGCGAGTGGCTTAATCCACCACACCACAGCACCAGCCTCAATAGGTAAAATATTTTTTAAATCTTAGTACAGGTAAAGCAACTAGAAAAATGTCTAGTATGAAATAAATGTTCCATGAATGTCATCTACTTTTTCTTTCTATTATTTTCAATTGTTGTTTTTATTTCCTCACATGCTGCTTCTCAATCTCTGTAATCTTCAATTCATCTTCAACATCTAATCTATAACCAGGCAAATAATCGAATAAAAATGAACGAAAAATTTCAATACATATTTTGCCCAAGAAGGTACTAATGGCTAATAAATTCATGAAATGATATTCAACGTCATTAGTCATTAGAGGAATACAAATCAAAACCACACGAGATTCTATTTCACATGTACTAGGATGCTATAATCAAAAAGATAATAACAGATGTTGGTGCAGATGTGGAGGAACAAGAACCCTCAGACAATGCTGGAGAAAATGTAAAGTGGTACAGCCACTTTGGCAAAGTTGTTTTGGTAGTCTCCTAAGAGGCTAAACATAAATGTATCATATGATGGACGCATCAGCCCAAAAGAAATAAAAACATTCACACCAAGACTTGCAAACAAATGTCCATGGCAGGGGCTGCCGTAGCACAGTGGGTAAAGCCGCCACCTGCAGTGCTGGCATCTTATACAGGCGCTGGTTAGAGTCCCAGCTGCTCCACTTCCCATCCATCTCTACTATGGCCTGGGAAAGCAGTAGAAGATGGCCCAAGTCCTTGGGCCCCTGCACCTACGTGGGAGACCCGGAAGACGCTCTTCATTCCTGGCTTCGGATCAGTGCAGCTCCAGCTGTTGCGGCCAATTGGGGAGTGAACCAGAGGATGGAAGACCTCTCTCTCTCTCTGCCTCTCCTTCACTCTCTGTGTAACTCTGACTTTCAAATAAATGAATATATCTTAAAAAAAAAAAAAAGACTTTTTCAATGATTGACAATCTAGAATGACTTTGATAAAAGCATGTGTATTTATCTTTTTTCAATATGAAAAAACTAATTGTTCCCCAAGTGTTGAATATTTCTTCTCAGAAAACAATAGCACAGTGGAAAGAATATTAACATTACAATCATGATAGTAACATGTCATTAATTCACCTTATGACTCTGGACAAATCTCTTCTTTTTTTTTTTAAGATTTATTTATTTTTTCCTTGAGAGTCAGAGTTACACAGAAAGAGGACAGGCAGAGAGACAGAGAGAGAGGTCCTCCATCTGATGGTTTACTCCCCAATTGGCCGCAACGGCAGGAACCGCGCCGATCCAAACCCAGGAGCCAGGAGCTTCTTCCGGGTCTCCACTCGAGTGCAGGGACCCAAGGACTTGGGCCACCTTCTACTGCTTTCCCAGGCCATAGCAGAGAGCTGGATTGGAAGTAGAGCAGCCGGGACTTGAACCGGTGCCCATATGGGATGCTGGCGTTTCAGGCCAGGGCATTAACCCACTGCACCACAGCGTCAGCCCTGACAAATCTCTTTTCTTTTCTAGACTACAGTTTTTTCTTTAATAAAGGCAAGATTAGCCCTGACATTCTTTCCAGCACCCCTGTTGAAGAAAACTAAGGTGTGTCAAACAAGATGAAAAATGAGAAACTCAGTATTTCATTGTAAATTGGAAAAGAAATCCCTAATTTATAAGAGAAAACAGAATGTCACACTTGATGCATTCAGTGGCTCGTTACACATATATGTGAACTGCAGCCCAATGCCAGGCCCCACCCTTCATTAACATGCAAACCACGAAACCCATCCCTCCCACCCTGGACCCTTATACCTCAGCTATGGTCATTCTGAGAGCACTGACAGGGGAGAGCTCAATGTCCACCAGCTGGGCAGCTTTTAAACTCTGCCCAGTAAAGATTGCAAAAGGACAGAAAACATAGCATAGAGTTAGAATTATGAGGCAAACATGGACACAACAGTTAAGAACATTTAGCACAGTGTACAGAAACAAAAATTTAGGGCTGTAGCTGGGCTTTGGAAAAGTGGGACAACAATCTCAAATTAATCACAATTTTAAGTCAAAAACTTAAAATTTTAGGTTCAAAAACTTGTCCATATCCTGCTTCTTCTAATGCTTTATTTCATTCCTCCCAGATTTCAAAGTCAAATTATAGGACCACATCACTGTGTCATTAAGAGCCGAGTAATAAAAAAGGGCATTAGAGGGCTGGGGCTGTGGTGTAGCAGGTAAAGCTGCTGTCTGCAGTGCCAGCATCCCACATGGGTGATGGTTCAAGTCCTGGCTGCTCCACTTCCAGTCCAGCTCTCTGCTATGGCCTGGGAAAGCAGTACAAGATGGCCCAAGTGCTTGGGCTCCCACAACTGCGCGGGAGATCTGGAAGAAACTCCTGGCTCCTGATCGGCCCAGCTCTGGCTGTTGTGGCCATTTGGGGAGTGAACCAGCAGATGGAAGACCTCTCTCTGCCTTTCTGTAACTGTCTTTCTCAAATAAATAAATAATTTTTTTAAAAGGGCACTATTGTAAAGGTCAGTGCTATAATCCCAAGGGAAATGTTCATTTCCTATATTTCTTTAGATAGCTGTTAACAGGGCTGCTTAAAATTACAAATGTATTTCTATTAAATTGGTACCATTAAACTCTGTAACTATATCTAACCTCCCCTGGTTCTGATTCTAAATTTACCAAAAGATCTTACGAATATAATTTAACATTTCTCTTGGTTTGTTTACATTGAAAGAATGTGCTAGTGATGTCAACATGTTCCTTCTCATTTTATAAAAGTCAAATTTTATTTTTTATGTTATCAAATTAGTATTTTTTTTAATTAAAATCATGACAAACATTTCTCACAAAGTAAATGAAAGAACAAAAATATAGTGTCTGCTCTTTCAAAATTGCCAATTTGGGGCTTATGTTAGTACTTTAACATTCTAAGAAATCTGAAAGGAATTATAAAAGACCTATAATTTTTTATAAAGCCAACCAAAATATTTCCATGTACGTATTCATTATTCTATTTATTAATTTTATTCTGGTTAAAATTTAAACACTGGTTTCTTTGGAAGGGTATAAGATGAAGAATTTTATGCATGGAAGTTACAATTTATGTTTGAATATATCAACTGAGTATTTTTTCTTCTCATCTTAGTGGTTTTCAGATATTCAATACATTGTCATAATTTGTTTAGTAGAAAGTTGTTAGCATAAAGACACTGGATGTAAAAAGAAGAAATGTCACAGTGTTTTTTTTTTAACATCATCACAGTTTTGTTATAAGATTAATGACACACAAATTGTTTTCTGTATATTCCAAGGACAACGGTTATTTGAGCAAAGCACAACTGAACAACACACATAATGGACACCTGGAGTTCCCTTACAGTATCACTGTCACAAGGCTGGAACTGGAATGGCTGGGGCTTGTGAAATACAGCGTTTTCTTGTAAAAACAGCTGAAGATTGTAGTCCCGTACCACCTAGAGAGGGAAAATAAAACAACTGTAAGTCTTTAATAAGGTTAAAATGTCCAATAACTATAGTCTGAAACTAAACATGTATAGACTAAACATGTATTGTTATTTTCTATCCAAATTAGAAATCGTTCAACACAATGTGGTAAAAAAGAAATGATAATGTTACACATTTTATTTTTTTGCTTTAGTTAATAATTGTTAATTATGTGTCCCATTTTCTCAGGAATCTAAATTTGGAAAGTACTAGTTTAGAAACTAGCCCAGATTTGGGGACTAGATAACACATGTTACAAGTATTTTAAGATGGCAAAAAGATACTGATCTATAAAAACCTATTCTTGGCAATGGTGCTGCATGTCGAGTAGGGAGGCACATGAATCTTCTTGCGCGTCTCCTAGCTCCAAAGTTGTATGGCCCTTTTGCAGTCTCTTTGATAGAGACTACCATTCACTAGGAAATTGCCAGACAATCCCAATCACAGCACAGAATAATATCTTCACAGTATTTCTTGGCACCTTTTTGAGGATGTTGCATTCTAATTACCATCTTTAGACATAGCAACAAGACAGACTAAAAAGGAATTCATATATTCAGCAGTGGTAGACTGAATGGTAGCCTCCTCAAAGGTACTTCCATGTGCTGGCAGAGAGGGAGAATTCTGATATTCAGAAACCAGCAAAACAAACAGCACAGAAAGATAGCTATATGGAAATAATTCATTCTTTCATATACCCCAGGGAAGAGTAGAAATAAAACCACTTTCTATTTTGCTATAGTGCTTACCCTTTACTTATCTTTCATTTGCAGTATATTACAGTTCATTAGCACCTTTGCCACAGGGTAGGCAGAAAGAGAAACAAAGCTCAGAGAAGGTCTGGAGCTTGACCTTGTCAGTCCTGGGAGAAGACCACTACTCAAACAGCACTCAGGGACTACTTGAAGAGATGGAGAAAGCAGGAGGTTTCTTTGCATCTTATTTACCAGTGGAATTACAATTGATTCTCGATGGTACAAGGATGGTACAAGGATGGTACAAGGAGAGCATGAGGACATGATATGTAATCCAGACTGAAGGACTCAGACGGGGTGAGAGCGGCGGGGAGAATTTATTCAGTGAAGGCTGGATGAATAGACTTACTGCCAAAGGGAAATGTGCTTCATTCTTTTCTTGGATTCCAGTTCTAAATTGGAGTAACTGTGATATCTTGTGATACAGCCCTCAGAACCTCATTAATCACCCGTCTAATGGCCACACCTGTCCTCAAGTACTCAAACCATCTTTTGGGAGGAAGGTGGTCAACCCTTTAACATTTTGAACTTTTTGTTACAGAAAACTTCAAACGAATGTAGAAATATAAACAGAATAATGTATTCTCATGAACTCATAACCCAGTTTCCAAAAACATGCCCTCATGGCCAAAATTATTTCATCTATAAACCCACTATCTCTTCCACCCTGCTTATAGTGAAGCAAGTTACAAACATTTCATTTCATTCATAAATATTTTAATATGATATCTAAAATTATAGAACTTCAAAAATTAATTTATTTATTTGAGAGGCAGTTACAGAGAAAGAAGGAGATACAGAAAGAGATCTGCCATCAGCTGGTTCACTCCCCAGATAACCAAAACCGAAGCAAGGCACATAGACTCCATCTGGGTCTCCCACGTAGGTGTAACGGGCCCTAGTACTTGAGACACTTTCTGCTGCTTTCCAAGGTGCATTAGAAGGGAGCTAGATCAGAAGTGGAGAGGCTGGGACTCAAACTGCTACTCATATGGGATGGTGTTGTTGTAGGCAGTGGCTTAAACTGCTGTGTTACAATGCTGGCCCCAGAGAACTCTGGTTGTTGTTGGCTTTGGCAAGGTGGTGTTTATCTGAAGAAGAATAGTGTCTTACTTTTTTTCCCCTACTCTTAACAGCTCTGGTGAGCTGAATAGTCATCTCCCAAAAGATACTTCCATGTCCTAACCCCTGAAAACTGTGAATGTTACATTTGGAAAAGCATTTTTGCAAATGTAATTAAGGATTTTTGAGATAAGGAGATCATACTAGATTACCTAAATGGGATGTAAATCCAATAATAAATGTCCATATATATATTTCAGAATATTTATTTATTTATTTGAAAGGAAGAGCAAAAGAGGGGAGGGATAGACAGAGCTCTTCTACCTACTGGTTCACTCCCCAGATGGCCGAAACTACTGGGGATGGAGGCTACGAGTCAAAGACCACATCAATGGCAGGGTTGGCTTCTTGTAGGGCCTTTCTCCCTGGCTTGTAGCTGACCACCTTCTTCTGATCTCTTCATATAGTCTTTCCTCTGTGCCCAGTTGTGTCCTAACTTCCTCCTCTTGGAGGACACTATTCATGCTGGATTAGTGCTCAGTCTGACCTCATCTTACCTAAATTCACTCTTTAAAAGGCCTGTCTCAGTAGATTCTGAGGTACTAGAAGTTAAAATTTCAACATATGGATCTTGAGGAGTGACACCCAGCGTATAGTAGCACCTTTTAATATGGGAATCTTTATTTACATTTTCTATTCTGTGTGATATAAGGGTGTATGATGTATTCACCCATTCCTTTCTATGGGTGAATAATACTCCATTGTATGCATATACCATGGTTCATTTATCTAATCATCAGGTAATGGCCATCTGGGTTGTTTTGTTTCTACTTTTTTGGCTATTATGAATAATGGCACCGTGAACATTCATGAACAGTTTTTCTTGGAACACCTGTCTCCAATACTCTCAGGTGCATTTCTAAGAGCCAAGCCGAATGGTGGCTCTGTGTTTAACTTTCTGGAGCGTTTGCTGCTTTCCACAGTGGCCACATCACTACATTCTCACTGACAATGTGTAGATATGTGAAGGTTCCAATTTCTTCACATCCTGAAGTTGCTGCTGTGTTTCAATTAGGAAAGCCTTCCTAGGAGGAAGTGGCACCTCACTGAGGTTTTTAATTTATATTTACTTTTTTGAAAGGCAGAAAGAAAATCTATCTACTGGGTCACTATCCAAATATCCATAGCAGCCAGGACTGGGCCAAAGATAGGGGCTGGGAACTCAAGCCATGTCTCTCATGTGAGTGGCACAGACCCAATTACTTGAGCCATCACTGTTACATCCCAGAGTCTGCATCAGCAGGAAGCTAAGTAGAGTTAGGAGCAGGAGCCAACTATCAAACCCAGGTGCTCTGACATGGGATGCGAGTGTTTATCACTCCAAGGCTATACACTAGCCCTGCTCACTGTGGTTTCCATTTGCATTTCCTTAATAACCAATGATGGCTGAACATCTTTACATGTGATTACTGACCACATATATATCTCCTCAGAGAAATATCTATTCAAAAATGCTTACTCATTTTTATATTGGGTTATCAAGTTTAAGAGTTTTTAAAATAAACTATAGATATTAAACCTTATCATATAAATGATGTGTACATATTTCTCCCATTTTTTTCACATTCTTGATTATGTCCTTTGATGCACAAAAGCTTTCAATTTAATAACTATTTCTGCTTTTGTTGCTTGTGCTTTTGATGTCAAATCTAAAAACACATCACCAAATCCAAGGTGATACAGATTAAAAAAAGATTTATTGTATTTGTTTGAAACACAGAATTACAAGAGAGAAACACACAGAGATCTTCCATCTGCTGGTTCACTCCCCAAAGGGCCAGAATGTCAGGGGCTGAGCCAGGCTAAAGCTAGGAGCCCAGAGCTCCATCTGGGTCTACCACAAGGGTGGCAGGAGGGCATCTTCTGTGGTGCTCCCAGGCACAGCAGGGAGTTGGATCTGAAGTGAAGCAGCTGGGACTCTAATCAGTGTTCATATGGGATGCCAGTGTTGCGGGTTGAGGCTTAACCTGCTCGCCACAATGCCGACTCCATAACATAAAGATTTATTTTGTGTTCTCCCCTGTAGTTACTTGATTTATTTTGAGTTAATTTTTGTGAGACAAGGGGATTTAATATCAGTCTTTCATTTTTTAAAAAAACATTTATTTATTTATTTGAAAGGCAGAGTTACAGAAAGGCAGAAGCAGAGAGGGAGAGATAGAGTGTGAGAGAAAGAGGCAGGAGCCCGAGGACTTGGGCCATCTTCCACTGCTTTCCCAGGCCATAACAGAGAGCTGGACTGGAAGTTGAGCTTTCAACTGCCAGGACTCGAATCAGTACCCATATGGAATGCCGACACTGCAGGCTATGCCACGTACCCTGCTATGCCACAGCGCCGGCCCCTCAATATCAGTCTTTTGCATGTGATTATCCAATTGTCCCAGAATCTTGTTGAAGATACTATTATTTCTTCACTGAATGCCATGGTACCCCTATTGAAAATCAATTCTCATAGACATTTGGGTATTTCTGGACTTCCAATTTTATGTGGTCTCTATGTCCATTTTCATTCGTTTACCAGACTGTTTTGATTATAGTAAATTTGCACTAAATTTTGAAATTGGAAAATACAGGTCCTTCAACTTTTATTTTTTCTTTTCAATATTTTTTTGGTTATTCAGGGCTCTTTGCAGTTCCTTATAAATTTAAGCACTGGCTTTTTCTTTTTTAAGGACTTATTTATTGGCCGGTGCCGCGGCTCACTAGGCTAATCCTCCGCCTAGCGGCGCCGGCACACCGGGTTCTAGTCCCGGTCGGGGCGCCGGATTCTGTCCCGGTTGCCCCTCTTCCAGGCCAGCTCTCTGCTGTGGCCCGGGAGTGCAGTGGAGGATGGCCCAAGTCCTTGGGCCCTGCACCCCATGGGAGACCAGGAAAAGCACCTGGCTCCTGGCTCCTGCCACCGGATCAGCGCGGTGCGCCAGCCGCAGCGCGCCGGTCGCGGTGGCCAATGGAGGGTGAACCAACGGCAAAGGAAGACCTTTCTCTCTCTCTCTCTTACTGTCCACTCTGCCTGTCAAAAAAAAAAAAAAAGACTTATTTATTTTATTTGAAAGGAGGAGTGACAAAGAGATATCTTCCTCTCCAAATGGCCA